TGGCTCATCCAAAAATAAAGGAAAAATCATTTTCATAATTTAAGGACAAAAAAGAATTCTTGAAAAAGAGAATCACTGGCTGGCCTGGCCTTGCCTTGTACCTGAATCAAAGATGGTTCCTGCCCCAGTGGTAGCATTGAAAGCCAGTGCACTTGGTGGAATATCCACAATTTTGCTCCCTACTCTTATGCCCATCAAGTTGACATAGTAAAGTGAAGACCTCCTTGGGTTCTTGAGCAACGGAGTGTACTTTATATTTTTGGGCTGGCCCACCGGGCCGAGCCGGAGCGACCCGGAGAAGTTGGCGGACCTGAAATTGGGCAAGCAATACGAGAACGTGAACTGGTACAGGCTTGGGGCCTGAGACATGAGTGACAGCGGGCCTCGGCTCAAGCCCAGGAGCCCCTGCGGCGGCACGGAGGTCCCCGTGGTTGCCTGGATGCAACCGAAGGTGTAGCCGGGGATGGGGTCGGTGGCTAGGGTGAATGTGTCCTGCGAGAGATTCGCCAGTATAGTGGAGCCGCCATATGTCATGTTGAAGGCGCAAGTGTTCCCGCCGCACGTTGGATTTGGTACCTGAAATTTCATGCACACCTTAATTAGCTCATGAGAGCGCCATTCATGAAGCTGAATTACTTTTGCCGATCATTTTAGAATGGTAAACTTGCATGAATTTTTGCTAAAGAACATTTAAAGCAACTCGTCAAATGTCTTAAATGACGTCGTGAAATGACAATGTCAAAGGTTTTAAGTTGTTGGATAAGTGAATCCTATCTCTCCATATTAGATTCATGTAGGCACTACTCCCAATGTTCACACATGGCAATCAAGAAGCTAATTATAAAATTTATTCTAAAAACTCAACAAATTTAATATTTTCATTCCTAAAAAAAGTCCACCTAACTCGTGTTATTGTGTCATAGTATATTATATATAATGAGCGAGCCGAACAATTCTGACATGTCTATCTAACTTGTATACTATCTCAAGACAAAGAACAAGGGCATAAATAATCAAATGCATGTATACTACCTGCTTGCACTGAGAGGCTTGGCAATCAAGGGACTTGAAGCTAGTGGACTTGGCATAATCAAGCACAACACTTGAAGAGCAACCCACACACCCACTACAAGGGACCCAAGCAGCATCATTGCTGGTGTCCACAGCCATGAGCATGCTCTGAGCAGGAGTCCCAATCTGAACCTTCACAACATAAGTGGCACTCTGTAGGATCTGCCTCCCAGGTGCAATGGGCACCACAGATTTCTTAGCCACTAGGCTTGAGGACAAGAATTGGAGCCTTCCTTGGTCCTTCTCTTGCAATTGGAGCACAGTGTCTTCCCAAGGCATGGCCTTGGGTGGCCTCAGTGGAGAGCACGGGCTGTTCACGTGGAAGACTTGGAGGGTTGAGCCATGGTTTGGGAGGTCACACTGGTTGGGGTTTAGGCCTTGTGCTATGGACAATGAGAGGAGGGCCACTGAGAGCAAGAAGAGGGTTTGCTTCATTGTTACTGTGTGTTGGTGTTTCATGGATATGGTTAGGCTAGGGAGAGACCAAGAGTGAGCGAGTTATTTATAGCTGGGCTTGTTAGTATTTGGAGTGGGAATGTGGACATGTGACTTGTGAGTGGGATCTTGACTGGTAATTTGATCACAGACTGTATTCCATTTGCTTTTGCAGTGTGGACCTCTCCTTCCGTTGTCCATTCACTTGAAAAGATGACTTTTCTTCTGTTTTTTTCTCGTTGCTACATATTTATGGAAAGATCAGGTTAGGACTCATGAGAGACAGAGTAAGGCTAAAATGCCCTATTTACATACATCTAATGTGGAGTATAGCGTGCTCTACAAATTGCATAGTGCATACTAACCAAGATTGATCTTTGCAGGGTTCAGATTAGTTCTAATGTTGCTATGATAACATTTACCATCTCAAGTGTCTCAGAATAGATATGCCAAATTTTAATAATGATATAATCACACACCCTCTGCACAATCTTTCATGTGTGAAATTGAGGATATTGCTTCTGTTATTACCTCCAAGACTGTTTCAAGACTAAATTTTATTGAAATACGAGTATTTTCACTTGCCATAACGTATCGTGACTGGCACTCTCATCCACAAAGCATCTCTCTCTCTCTCTCTCTCTCTCTCTCTCTCTCTCTCTCTCTCTCTCTCTGAGGGAAATGGGTGCAGATGATGACAACTATCTGCAATAGGCAAAAATGCACGTCTCTTTCGTTTGTTTTCTAGTGCTTAATTCTTCATTCGAAGCACACTGTGAATCACTACCCTTTTAGTTATTTGAATCACCAGAATGGAAAAAGCACGAAGACTTTCTTGCTACCCACATTTGGTTTTTGTTCAATTTCGATTCAAATTACAACCTCCCTCCTTCACGTCGTGATTAGTAGTCAAAGAAATTTCAGCCATAATTGGTGCAGAGTCCAAGCTTAGCTGTTCTCTTACTGTGTTTATTATAATGTCACATCCACGTAATTTCTGTAGGATAGTGCACAAAATATTGAACTACAGTAAACTCACGAGTCATGGCCACTGCACTTCCTCTTCATGCATTCGTCCATTACTCATGAGAAATAATCAGGCAAACTCAACAAAAGATAAATGTAGTGAACAATCATACGTGTCTTTCTGTGAAATTAACTGCAGTGCACGGCACAAAGCTTGAGTTGTACTTGATAGTTTGTTTATTGATTAAGTACAAGGATTGTGAGAGGAAATAGCCTATACCTGAAATTCGTTGATCAACCAAGCTTATACTCGTCGGGGAAAAAGGGTCATTTCCAACGTAAAAATCTTCCTTTTCCTCAATGAAAAGAACAAAAGCAAAACTCTCTAGCGAGGTCATGCCTTACTTAGTCGCTGGCGAGGGCTTGAGCCTTTGCTAGTGGCCGCTAGGTTGCGGGCGAGGCTCGCCGTCGCCATTGCTGGCTAGGGCGAGCCTCGCTAGTGGCTGGCGAGCCTCGCTAGTGGCTGGCGAGCCACGCCGGCCTTGGCTTCCAGCCGATCGCCAAACCGGCGAACGGCAGGAGGAAGAAGAAAGGGAAAGAAAAAAAAAAAGAAAAAGAAAGAAAAGAAAAAAGTAAAAAACAAAAATAAAATAATCGAAAATTATTAAAAGTTGTCCACGTCATCGCTGGCAGTGCCATGTAGGCTGGTCGGCATCCACGTCAGCACTATCCGGCCAAAATTAGGCGCAAAGACAAAAGATTTAGGACTTAATTGGCACCAAAAAAAGGTTTAAGACTAAATTAGCACCAATGCAAAAGGTTTAGGACTTTTCTTACACTTTTCCTTATACCAAGTTGTTGGCGTCGCACGCCACTATGTATGAAAAATTATTGTAATTGGCTCAAGCTTTAGTGTTCTGCACCATCGGAGCAGATCATATGCTGGGAAAAGAAAAGAGAGATCCTGAGAGAAAAATCCATAGTCGATTGAGAAAATAGTTTGCATTTTTATCTTGTTGCATCTTTAAACCAGTTTTATTCCAATAGACTGAATCAGTGAACCGCAAATATGGAATGCCCACGATGTGAAAATTATGTGAATGGTCTACTATGTCAGTGTTCCGTCTGCACAAGAAGATCTAACTCAAACTAAGTGCACCACCCAATAACCTCTGAGACACTGACCTTCCCAAAGTTTATGTTGGGAGTGTACATTTTGACTTGTTAAAGCTGTAACTAAAGTAATCATTCCATGTGATGCTAGATTCTTGTGGCCCATCATACAAGATCATCCAACTCTAGTAACTCATTTGAAATGTCCTATACCACGACCAATTTGCTTACTCTTATCAACCCCCAGAAAGCGAGGATCGCATGATTAGATACCTTAAAGCCAAATGATGAGTAGACATCATACTATAATAGAACAAGATTGTTTCAGTAACTCCATATAGGGAGAAGAATCAGTTATTTGCTTGTCTTTTTAGTCTGAGAATGCACAACAATAGGCAGTGACACAAAGGACAAGTGGTTCTCATTTACAGAGACACTTACCATGTAAAATCTATAATCATCTCATGAGAAGAAAATGCCTGAAGGAAGAACCTTAATGGGCAATGTGCCCAATATCTTCTCCAAGTCAACCTTCCAGATTTTGCTTAAATCCTGTCTGGGGTTTAAAGAAAACCTAACTTGACGTTGCCCCGCATCCACTTGAAGATTAGAGCCAGCCAGCTATGCTGTTTAACAAGGCCCACAAGGACCACTTCTTCGTGGGCCCACCACTTGAGTGGTCGGGCCCACACGGTTTGGCCTGGTTTCCACTGAATTACAGCATGCCATGTTGCAGTACAGTTTGCCTCTGCTATTTTTGGACCTCTCTTCCTTTGCCCCTACTCTCCACATCTTCGCTTCATTTTGACGCAGTACAAGTCACAATGATTGCACCAGTGAAATCTGTCACCCTTAAGAGATTGCTTCCAAGCGTGTTGTGCCACGGCTGCTTCTAAAGCGCTAGATCTCAGTTTTCTTTCTCACGCGATCGTTATCAAAAGTCCCGCGTTCGATTCGATTCTGGGCATGTGAATGAGTGTCCTTGTACACGCAAATGATCACTCCACGAAGATACATTGCGTGTGAGTGTGACATAGATAGCAGGGCATATTCAACTGCAATGCCTTTGGACTCAAATCAGAGTAGCTAAGTCATCTAAACCATATTTAAGTACTTCCATGAACTTGTCATGCTTGCAGGAATGGAGTGATGGTCCTTCGACCAATCTGAAGTTCGAAAACCAATTTTTATTAATACCTCAAAATGCACTGCATAAATCGCCACGACTCAAATGTGCCATTACGAAAACCCTTACAATCGAAAAAACTACGGGCGAAACAGATTGAATAGGTCTATTCAATGTTGACCAAACATAGCACCAATAACTCATATAATCACCATGCAGTCAATCATCAGGAGCATCAGTGCATTGATCAGATCAAGACATTGGAAATAGAGCCCTTCTTCTCAAATCATATATATTTGCAATTTGAAATGCAGAGGTCTATTTCCCTTATTCGTAAGAGATCTCGTTGCGAGTTGAGCAATGTAGGGTTGTACACTAGGCCATCTTAGGAAGCGGATCTCTATCTACAGTATTTCTAGGCCCTTTTACAACCAAAGGAAAGCGTCCGGAAAGTGGCGACTTTCAAACTTGCATTCCAATCCTATATGTAAAAGTTTCTCTTTAGGTCGACCTCTATCTAAAAGTCTAAGCTAAGATTTATGCGCTCTATTTCTGAAAATAACACAGTTAAGACTGAAAACAATAATTTTATTCCAAATCATAGGTTGCTTCGAGTTATCCTTAATTGCACGTGTAGTTTTTACTCTGTATCCCAGTTGGGAATGTTTGCAGTAGCTTCATTTACCATCTTCACAAGAGTAACCTGCAAAAAACAAAAGCAAAGCGCATCCATAAGTGTACGTATTCAGGGAGTCAAGATTTGTGCTTCATTATACCCGGCTATGTCCCTCAGTGCAAGAGGATAAGCAGAACAAACATTCCAAATGTACATCTAGACTTGCATAAATATCCCTCAGCTTCTGCTCTTTTTCCATATCATGATAAAATGATGACTATGAATAATAGTTTATGTGCAAGCATCGAAGCATAGAAAATTCCAATAGACCTTTCATCTTTGATGTTTGCATATGCCATCACTGTCGATTTGATGAAGTAAGATGAACAAAAAGATCCTTCAAGCTGTGCTAGTACCGGCTTAAGAGGTCAAACCAGGTCCTTAGGCAGTATAACTATCAAGGAAAGAATTTATCTAAACCTTCAAGGTATTCTCTACTGTTGCCATGAGGGAGCTAAAAAGGAAGAAGTCACATAGATCTGATGTTACATCCTTCTATTTTCCAGCATATTTTGTGTCCTAGATTCATTTTCCTTGCATCTCAACGTATAAATTACCCAGATCATTAGTGACTTCACGAATGAGGGCATCACAAAAGGATCAGCATGCATGTCTAGAAGCTCAGGTAACCATCAAATCCTTTTGATAACATACAAATTCAACTTAATAAACCAAACCTATTTTACATGTTATGATCTTGACAAAAGATTGAGATCCACATAATAAAACATATCTCACTTACTACACTTTCAGGAACCCCTGGAGGAGGCAAGGAAAGATTTCTAGGTGGAGGACCACGTAAGTATGATCTCTTGTCAAATCGCCACTCTCCAATTTTGCCGTATGTTAGCTCACCCTGGAAACATGCAAATCACTGGTTGAGTTCTAAAACAAGGAATTTAACCAATTGATGTACAAGAAAAGGAGATTGGCAAATTCAATTATGATCTATGACACAGAAAAATGTTCCCAAAGCAGCTTCGCATGATCTATAGCTTGGACAAAATGTATTTTCACCTTTAAGTTGTAGTCACATCCATAAGTATAGTGGAGGATAAACCTCTTTCCAGTTTGAAAATCCCATGGAGGCTACAAACAGAAAAAGAAAAGAGAATTCAAATGGTTATTCAAGCAGGTCCCCATTACATGTAAGCAGTGAAAAGACTACTGAAAAGGAGATGAGCAGAATTTGTGATAACCCCATAAAGTTACATTCCAAACCTGCAGCATAAAGTCTTTCCTGAGGATATGCTTAACACCATGCAAAGCAGATGCTACGGCATAAGCATACCTGAGATTAACAAAAGACGAGAATAAACCATCACCATTACTATTACTTAAAGTAGGGAGAAAATAAGAATTACGCTCACACTTTCTCAAACGCTCACATTTCCAGTACCCATCCAAATGCTTTATCAGTTTCGGAATCATCCTTCATTCTTAGAGAAACATTCATCCATGTAGGAGCAATCTTCTCTAGCAGATCCTGAATAAAAAAAATAAAAAAATAAAAAAAAACTTTGTCTATTCACATATGACCTATACCAATCAAGATTAGAAAAGACACTAATTTTTGCATGCAAACAAATATCAATTGGTATTTCCATTAACCAAATAAGGTAGAATAGAACGTTATGTAGGCACGGGTTTTGGCTCTTTTGTTCAGAGATCACATTAATCAGATATAAAATGATAAGATCATCATTATCCAGGTGGAATAGTTCGAGAGTCATTACCTTCTTAATGATTACAGGAGAGTTCCCAATAGGGTCAACCTTGGTCACAGGGCCATTCTCCTCAGGGAAAAACTTCCGGATGATATTCTCATTCTCTGCAGGTTTTATGTAGAAAAAAGGGAAAGCAGCAGGATATCCTCCATCAGCCAAATTAGGTAGAGGATTTACAAATATATGATCAGGTTCTGCCATTAGAATATATCTGCAGCACAAAATTAAACATGCTCAATCCTTTTAAGACATTCCTAAAATGCAATTCTTTTCACAACACCAATCACCGAAAAAAATAAAAAACTCACTCTTCCTCAATTGTAGCCTTCTCCAACCATTGTACAAAGGCCCATGGTCTATTTAATACAATGTATCCCTGTATACCATTTAAAGACCATTTAAGATGTGAACTCAAAGAATGACCAGAAACTCAAAAACCGAACTCTAAAATGTAAGGTCAGAATATGTCCAAAAAGAGAAGAAAAGAATTGAAGCATCAAGACTTGGAAGGCTAAAGCAATCAACTAAGTATACTTCCGAGTACAATTGCAGGTCAGGTTGACTTGAATCTGGAATCAAAAGTAAAGAAAATTGCAGGTCTTGAAGGTAATTTTTCAACTTCTAACATGGGAACTTTGCAGTTGATTAAAAAATTGAAGTTCCAGGCTGTTGCTTTCCCATTGTGAAAGTGGACATCGCATTTATTATCTCCTGACTCATGAAGAAGTCAGACTTATAAGTAAACTGAGTACATGTATATATACTCCATAAAACCAAAATAATGAGCTTTGTCAGACCTTCAGTAGTAAGTACCTAATCAGACAAAAACTTGCCTAAACCTGTGATATCAAGAAAACACAATGGCAACTTCTGCAACGGATCCCCCAAATGTGTTGTTTTCCCAAATTAATTTCATTCCTTAATCCCCACAACAGCGTACACCTCATGATAAGTCCGAAATTGAATAACAGAACTAGCATAGCATTGGCCATTACATCCAAAGAGCAAAGCAAATCTTACTCTATCCAAGCCTGCAGGTAGAGAATCCACAACAATAGTAGGAATCTCATCCATCAAGTTGTCGGGATTTCCTGAATGCAAAATCCGAGTGAATCCCCCCATCTCGGAGCCAGGCAGGTCTTTCTTCTTCTTATACCAGTAGTACATAATGCGACTCTGCCATTTGCTATATGGAGCATCTGTAGCTGTAAGAGCAACGTGAAAAGGTGATCCTGAGGTTTTCTGCTTCTGCATATTATCACGCATCTCAAGAATGGGATCGGATAATAGTTTCCTGTTCGAATCATCCACCACCGATCTCATGATTGCTATATTGCGCATTAATATAGTTAGAAGATTGTATGTAGCAAAGCAAAACCCAAGCGACAACAGAACCAGCAGTGGCACTGAAGCGCTTCCAGTGTTCTTTCTCCCAGTCATTTTCATTTACCATACAATCAACTATATAATTCCCTTTGGTTACAAAAGTCCCTTATTCCTGATATCATATAATCATGATCACCACGAGCCAGTCAAGCCCTTGTCCAGTCCACCACCATGATGTGATGGGTAAGGTTTCTCAAACCCAATATTCTGCTCTATGTCTTCGTGCTAGCAACCTGATAGATGACCAACATAAAGTCAGCAAAATTCAAAACAGGATCTGACATCCACCAAACCTCTTACAGATTTGTAAGGTACTACAGCAGCAATAGTATGTTTCATGATTTCAAATGATATAAAAAGAAGAATCTCTCAAATAGATGCCAGCGAGTGAGGTCTATATATCTTATGATCGGGAATTGCCACCACAAATCGAGACTCTTAATACTGTCTCATTGGACTGGTCCAGAGTACAAGGAACCGATATTTATAGCAAACGAGCAGTCGAATTCTGAGATCCATGAAAGAAGATCAGACAAAACAATTGCCAGCTTCAAGAAACAATGCTCCAAAATTAACATAAAATCAGGAATGGAAAGGCAATTCAATTGGCTAAACATGACTAACAGGAAACGAACATAAGAAGATATCTGCATTTCAAATATGAGCAAAACCATCGATGTTAAGGGACAAATGGTACCCAAATGGCCGAAAGATTACAACTTATATAACACAGAACCACCACATAAGAAACTTCCCCAGCTAAAAATATACAGATTACCGGTGGAGGGCCGAATCAATTCCCACAACCTTGCGAGCAAATCAACAAATGGGAAAATGAAAACAGACCCAAGAAGCAAAACACCGAATTTCAATCCGCAACAGCAAGAACGACAGGGAACAACCAGACATCGAGCAAATGGAAGGAATGCAACCGAGCACACGAGTCACGGGTCGAAACGAAAGGACGACGACCATCATCAATGCATGCTCGAGGATCGAAGGTTCAGGGCGTTCCGACGCGAAAGGAGATACCTTTACCGTCAACCGCGTCGAGAGAAACAGAGAAGAGCGTCGATGGAGAGAGGCAGAGCACGCAGTAGAAAGTAGAAACGAACAGGAATCGGAGGAAACGTAAGAGGGGAGAAAGAAATAACATCGCAGAGAGAGAGTAAACAATTAGCAGTTTTTTGATAATAAAATAATAATAATAATAATAAATGACAGATTTTCTTGAGCTTATGCCTGGGGTATATTTTCAAATAATGGCTCTTTATGAAATTCCTTTCGATTGTCTAGGGCGCAAATAATAATCATTCTCTTACTAGACCCAATTTTTGCTAGAAATATAAAAATTTAATTTGATTCCCTAAATGAATTTTTGAACAGAAAGTAATGTTTGATAATGACACGAAATTTATATTCCCATAATAGAAATTCGTTTGATATGCTTTCTTAAATTTCTGTTCCCAGCGGCGGGCAGCAAGCTGGCGAGAGAGGCGGCATAGAGTTGTTATTTCTAGTTTTGTTCAAAAAATAGAAAAAAAAATATACTTCTCATTTTTATTCCAAACCTATTTATGGACTAAAAATTTATTCCGAAATTCAAAAAATGAAATTGTGTTTTCAAATGAATTTATGTTCCAAACCTGTTTCAAAGAACAGAAAAATAGAAAAACAAAAAAACAAAATAGTTATTATTCGCGCTTTTATTAAATTGTTCCTTGTTTTTGCCTTTATTTATTAATTATCAATAACATGATTGAAAATGGTCGAGAGAGCTACATGATCTTGTTGATTTTGGAAGTCAGTTCAAAGGGCTTCCAGGCATGGATTAACATTTGAGATTACATCATTCCATTTAATTAATTACCATATTAGTTGTCATATATATTTGAAGAAAAGACCTGTTATTATAGCTTTTCAAGTAAATGCACGCGTAATCTATGTTAAAAAAGTAATCGTGCAAGCTCTGTTTATTTCGCGAAAAATGAATGATTTTGAAAAATATTTTTCTAAAAATAATCGGTCAAAATAATTAGTCGATAAAAAATATTTTCATTATCGACAACAATTTATATTGAAATATTTTCATGAAAAATGAAAATATTTTTCGTTTGTAAGCGATACAAACGATTATATGTAGGGAAATATTTTCCAAATCATTCGTTCTTCACGAAACAAACACAAACATCAACCTTCTCCAATTTTCTTTAATGAGATGAGTGGAATCTGCTAAAGCAACTCATAAACAACAAATAATGAAGATCTTGATTCATTAGAAATTGGACAGGTAAGGAAATTTCTCGTTGAGTTAAGTACTTACGTAAAAACAAATAAAAACAACAATTAACGAGGATTACCATCGCGATGGTTGGTCTAATGATGTAAAAGTTTACTTTCAACTGTTTTGGTCCCCCTTGGTTAATCTCTTTAGTCGTTTTTTATCCTTGGGAAGCTTGGTTATTCAGCGGCAGAGATTCGACCGTGTCGTGACATAAGACAACCTGGGCTTTGATCTCGATACCACTGTGGTGGGTAACGGCGGCAGAATCGCTCAAAATGAGAAGTGATTATGGGTCAAACGAACATGTTGTCTTCGCAATGAAACTCATCTGATAATGCCCACAAGAGGTCGCCAACGTCGGTCGCCCTAACAAAAAACAAAAATGGAGTTTTGTTAATGTGCTCTTCAAGAAACACCGCCAATGAATTTTGGGAGTGTCCATACATTCAAGCATTTTCTTTTTGGGTTAATACCATAAAAAATCTCAAACTAGTATATTCGTAACAAATTTACCTCAAACTAATTTTTTAATTACAAAAAATGCTAAATTAGTACACCTGTTACAAATCTATCGTCCTTTAGTTTCAGTTAAATAACACGTAACAGTTGACAGATATACCAATTTGGGGTTTTACCCTCCGTTTGTCACAGATATATTAGTTTGTGATTTTGTTTGTATTAATTCAATTTAACGGAGGGTAAATTTATTATAAATATACTAATTTGGGGTTTTTCGCGATATTTACCCTTTCTTCTCTCTTTCTGATTAAAATTCGACACCAACAGCTCCCAAACTATTGGAACTGTCTCCGTCTCTCTCTGCAAAGCCACAACGATCGGTCAACGAGCGGTGCTGCTCTGCTCACGACCTCACCGAGATCCCTCCGGTCCGCACTCCTCCGGTCCTCATCATCAACGGCTCTCGTCCACTCGTGGCTCCTCAAATTCCCGATTCCCACCTATTCCTTGACAAGACAGAAGGAAGAACCGCCATCACATGGTTTGCTTCCTCTTCTTTGGGAAAATGACACAAACAGTCCTTGAATTTTAGCTCAATGTGCAATTTGATCCTTGAACTTTTAATTTATTCAATATAGTCCATGAACTTTAACTCAATGTGCAATGTGGTCCCTCAATTTTTAATTTATTTAATGTCATTTTTGAACTTTTGATACATATTTAATTCAGTCTCTAAACTATATGAAAATGTTCAATGTAGTCTTTTTTATTAATTCAAGTTCAGGGACTATATTGAATATTTTCATATAGTTCAGGGACTGAATTAAATATGTACAAAATATTCAGGGATGATATTGAACAAATTAAAAATTTAAAGATCATATTAAATATTATTTTAAAATTTAAAGATTATATTAAATAAATTAAAAATTCAGACGTCAAATTACATGTCTGAGTTAAAGTTTAAGAATTGTTTGTATCGTTATCCCCGCCTTCTTCTTCTCCCTGTCCTCCTCCTCCTTCACCGCCGCTGACAATTCCTAAAGAGAGAGAGAGATGGAATCTATGGTGGTCGCTAGCCCGGCGATCAAGGTCGCGGCGATCTGCGGGTCGATCCGAAAAGCCTCCTTCAACCGAGGCCTCCTTCGCTCCGGTAACCGTGTCCGACCTTCGAATTTTCCGTTAAAAGCTGCAGCTCCTTCATCGGAATGTGTTTAGCTCCCGCTTTCCTGTCGATGGCGTGCAGCGATCGAGATATCCGAGCAGCAATCGGGGAACGGGATGCGAATCGAGCTGGTCGACGTATCGCCGCTCCCGATGATAAACACGGACCTCGAAGCCGACGGCAGGTTCCCGCCGGCGGTCGAGGCTTTTCGCCAGAAGGTCCTGGAAGCCGACGGCATCCTCTTCGCTTCCCCGGAGTACAACTATTCCGTCACTCGTAACCACCTTTCTCTGCTGCTTCAATTCAATGCATTTACTCGTTCACGGCGGTGCTCGCCAATGTCTTTGACTGCTGTTTGCTGATTTTACTATGTCTTGGGAGTGATTGGATTCAATTCATCACCAGAAATGATATTGCTTTTGTTAGATTAGATTAGATTAGATTTGATTAGATTGAGTCAACTGCCAAACTGTCGGATCAGACGATGGTTTCTTGTAGCGCGTCCGCGATAGAATGAGTTTGTCTAATGATTTCTCTGTTTCACAACCATTGCATCAGCCTGGATTATCTTGCTCTGCTTATATCTTTGTTTGTCTTGAGGTTTTTCTTTCTTCCTTAACTTTTGCCGTCGAGTTTCTGGATGTTGAGCTCAAATCAAACTAGAGTAGATTTTACTTCCAGTGGGTCTTTTTCTTTTTCTCAGTTAAAATGTATTGGATGGCTTGGTCTATGAAGGACCATGCCTTTCAAGAACTTGTAGGTGGGTTTGCTTTGTTACCTCAGCTCTCTGATTCCTAGTGGACTCGAGCAATGCTATTCATGTGTGTGTGTTTTGGGTGCTTGTAGCCTGTGGGGTGGGGAGGCCTCACTGTTGGAGTAATTTAATGAGAGTAGAACTGTTGGAAGTACCAGAATGAACCTATTCTTGGTTGATTAATTCCGAAGCTATCGATATCTTGCTCGAGAGATTGTCGAGAGTGTATGCTGTGGAATCTTACATACATATCTATGTTATATACTTGCTTGTGCTGCAACACTCTGAATATGATGAGACTTTACTCTAATCATGTTTATGTATGTATTTCTTGTATTCATGTGTGTTGCACTCACTCAAACATGTTTGCTTAGGTTGTCAGCCTTGTTTGTCGAGTCGCTACACATTTGACTGGTTAGAGGAAGGTGTGTTAGTATACTTATCGGATTGTCAATCTGTGCATCGAGTCTTGGCTTGACAACCATCTGTTGAACGAAAAACTCTCACAGTAGACCAACTATGAGACTGATCTCCTTCCTAAACTAATTCGGAGAACGCTATGTTACGTCCCAAGGATTGCAAGTATATTCACAGCGCAAGAGCATGCCTAAACAAGACTAAGGAGAATCGCATTCCATTTATGACGAGGATAGTAATTAGCATTAATAAGGATAGCCATCAATTAGTTTCTATCTATAAGGATAGCCATTAATTAGTTTCCATTTATAATTGATATCCATATGTGTACTCGGCTATTTAAAGGGCCATTAGATTACACTAAAGAGTAAGCAATTACAATTCTGTTCCTACCTCTCTTCCTTCTTTCCCCTCCTCTCTCCTCAATTCCTGCTAAATCAACTATTCTCTTAACACGCTACTTCACTAACACTTCAGATGTCATGAGTTAATTGTCTCCTCATGTGGAAGCTTTGTTGCTGATAATAGGTATGGGGTGAGGTGACCATCTGCATTGTGTTAGTGTTCTCGGAAATATCAGTATCTTCGTGTGTGGATCAAATTATAAAATATCATCCTTCTCTCATATACTATTGGATCTCTAGTTCATTGAATCTGTATACACTAGAGAGAACTATATGCTCCTATCTTGAATTCATAAGTCTATCGGTGAAATTATCCGAAGTCAGTGGTAGACTACACATTGCCGAAATCATCCAATTTCACTAAAGCACAGTAAATTGAAAGAAGTCTCAACTTCCCTTCAAACATTTCGTCATGCTATTCTCCCAATGCTTGTTAGGCGTGCTTTTGCCACTTCAACACGTGCGTTTCAGGTTACAAGTTCCAGGAATTTATGCTCTAATCATTGAGTCTAATGAGACTTGGGTGAGTAAATCCTGGGCCATGAACACCCTAATGATCTTGTAGATCAAGTAGGACCCAAGAAGAAGCGAGAGTGGATAGCCCAAACATGAGGTTATCAATACTTCATGGTGTTGGGAGTTTGAACCTTTATTGTTTGCGTCAACCTCGCACATGTCCGTTTCTTTACTACTAAGCCAACTCCTCGACGTTGGAAAGTAAGTTCGACGTAGCAGTTTATTGTGCTCTGGTTCATTTCCTGCTCAGGAAGAAAATAAGTACATGACATTCGTCGTCAGCTTGAATTTTTCACCAGCATTCGCACGATGGTAAAGGATGAGGAAGTTATGCATTTGTGCAGTCATTCATTTCTTAATCATTTTCTTCTCTTTGCCATACCAGCACCTTTAAAGAATGCAATTGACTGGGCATCTAGACCACCAAATGTATGGGCCGGGAAGGCAGCTGCCATTGTGAGCGCGGGAGGAGGTTTTGGTGGGGGACGAGCACAGTATCATCTCCGTCAAATTGGAGTCTTTGTCGATCTTCATTTCATCAACAAGCCCGAATTCATGCTGAACGCATTTCAACCGCCTGTGAAATTCGACGGTGAGGGAAACTTGGTTGATCCGGAGGCGAAGGAGAAGCTTAAGCAGGTTCTTCAAGCACTGCTCAAATTGACGCTGCGACTACAGGGTCAGTGATGCAAAACTCATCAAGAACTTGAATACCTCTGCATCATGGGTGTCTATTTTTATTCTGTAGTGCTGAGGACATAAAATTGATGTCTTGACGATGAACGCCAATTCCATAATTGAGGCTATGAGTAAATTAGCAAGGGCTGTAATTAGTAAAGAAACATTCCTCCGAGGAAGGACAAACAATGGAGTGGATTACAATGTATGGGCTTTTGAGGAGCCGAATTTCCAACGGGAGCCTCCGCAGCCTGTCCTGCAAGTGAAAGGGTTTCACGGATGCGTTCCGTATTTTAAAGTGCTGATATCCGCACGCCCTATTACTCAATTTTCCTCAAATCTTTTTAATTTTTTTGGGCCCTCAAATCATTTTCTTTTTTGAGAGGTGGGAGTACCTTCTCTCTGTTTTACATCCGGTGATTCCCGAGGTCCGGACAAGGCACCGAATGAAGCAGCTTAAGGACTTTTGGTTTGCGGGCTAAAATTTTCGAGGAAGGTAAGGGTGCTTTTTAAGTCAAATTTTGGGGCTATTTCAGTGTGTTGTTAAATGAGTACGAACAAGACAAAAAACAAGGTCACTGATTGGTAGAAAATTGGGGGATTGTATTTCCAAGACCAGACTTGTGACCCCCAAATTTAATTGTGATGATGATGAGACAAGAAAAGGCCAATTTGACTGCGACAGACAACCATGTGCCGTCGATGTGGGAGACAAACACTTGACATGGTATCCATCAAAACAAATGACTGACGTGAATTCTGTTCCCTTGCACCCTTCACACAAGACCCCATGAATATCCCTTGTCACCTGAACCCCATGATGCAACTTCATCTTGCCTGACCACACGACGCCAATGGGGGGGTCCTTTTGAAATTTCCGAGGATGAATTGATCGACCGGTAACAATGAGGTTTTCTTTCTTTTTTAAGCATTGAGTTCTCTGACACAGAGAAAATTATTGAAAAAGTTATATATTTATTGTTAGATATCAATTCAATCGTAAATCTTTTAATTATGTTAATTAAGTCATAAATATTTTGACAATTTAATCATAAAATTTTTGACGATTTGCTAATTTAGTTCTTTTGGCCAAATATCCAAATAATAGATCTTGGACTAAATTAGCAAGTTTTCAAAAGGTTTATAACTAAATTGACAAAAAAAGGTTTTAGACTAAATCGGCAAATCGTCGAAAGGTTTATGACTAAATTGACACAGTTAAAAGGTTTAAAATTGAATTAATTGTCGTACAATAAGTTTAGGGCTTTTCGGACTCTTTCTGACAAACATTAGGTGAATAACTTTGATAACAAAAACATACCAGAATTTGCATCCTCCTTGAATCTTGGAAACTAGCTTCACTTCCATCGTACCTGAACGCTAATTAGGAAGACGGTATATTGCATCGCATAATGAACATAGAAATCTAGTGATTAGTGTGCATTATGCACATAAATCATTAAGGCTAGATAAACATTACGAATTTGTAATCGGTATTGTGAAATTATAATCTAAATTCACCCGTGACAACGAATATATCGGAAGCCTGAATAGTGGCCTTTTATGAAAGGATATATACCTATATTTTTATGACTCATAATACAACCAATCACGCTAATTATGTATGGAACGACTTTACTTATGCTTTTCCCATCGCCGCACCCAACGGTTTGCATTTCAATGGTGACGTGTCCAGGAAGGAAGCGAGAGTCGTTTTATTTTATATTTATATTTTATGTTGGCCAATAATAAGAGAAGGGTGGGGTCCACTTGGGAATAGGGCCGAGTTTGACTTGTCAGAAGATGCAGGCCGCACAGTGTCTTAGGACGCGGTGTCCGAGATTTTCTAGTTGAAACCGAGACACACGCTTAGGAGAAAAGACTTCCCGGCCATTTGTTAATGGCAAGAAGCTGTTAATGTCTGCCCAATGGTCGGTAAAAGAGCCCTTTTGTTGGCTATTTCTGCTCTGCATATGTCCCTCTAAAGTATAGGCATTGGACCTTCCCCTCTAACCTCCAAACAAGAAAGTCATGCCAATGCCAATGCCAATGCCAATGCCAATCTCTGTCTGTCTGTCTTTTCTTTCATGCACTGAGGAGTGTAAGTTCTGGACAATTCAGCAAAGTGACACGAATTATGGTCTTTTTTATTCTGCTAAAGGAGGGAAAAAGTCATGGAGAGGACAAGGACTGTGCATGTTAAGAGGGACGTACTAAACAAGCTAGGCGCCTTTTATGGGAAGAAGGGGTAAAATATGAAGGGCCCAGCGGAGAAAGATTGCTATTTGAAGGAAACAATAGGATAAATTAGAGGAATTATAGTAAAAAATGCCAAGTGCGGTCACTGCTCTCTGATCTAAGACCCCCAAAAACGGCAAATGGGATAACCACCAGCGATGACATGTCTCTCTGTTTTCTCCAAATGTTTGGCCTGACAGTAGTTTCAGGAGTCAAATCCGGATGCAAAGACCAATGCTTTGAATCTTTGGTCCAAACCCATCAGAAAAAAGAAAAGTGGAAACTAGGGAGAAAAAAAGAGAAAGAAAAAGAGAGCAGAGGGGAAAAAAAATCAAGAAAATGCACCCAGAAACAAAGAAAAGCTTGCCATTGGTACCAACCCCAACTTTTGCTTTCTCCATTATGAATCCGACACTCCCATTCTTTTTCCTTCCAAATCTCAGACAACCCATTTCACAGCACAAATAGAGCTGACACCAATGCAAATTCAGGTTACCCGACATATAAAACGAGTCTTCTTTTCATGTTCCGGCATATGCCTTGTTTATTTCTCTCCTCTGTTTCAAGAATGCCTTATTGTGATTGGAGAGTTTTCATTGGGGACAGCACATAGTTAGAGAGAGAGAGAGAGAGAGAGAGAGAATGTGCGTGGGTGTGAGAGAGAGAAAGAGAGACATTGATCTGGGTATGGGGAAGGAGAAGAGGAGAATGTAGGCGTTAACATTTGTTAGGGGGCAGAGAGAAATGAGCAAAAAGCACGGCCGAATTTTGAAGGCCTGGGAAAAAACAGTGAGGAAATCACAAGCTGCTGCAAAGAAAAGGGTGAACAGCATTTTCGCCGCTATGTCGGTTGCCCACGTTGACGACGAGGACAATGCGGGCCAGAACGAGGTCTATCATTCCGAGAGAGTCCTCTCAAATGGGGACTTTTACACCGGCCAGTGGGCGGATAACCTCCCCCACGGTCATGGGAAGTATCTGTGGACCGATGGGTGTATGTACGTTGGCGAATGGTTCAACGGCAAGACAATGGGAAAGGGGAAGTTTTGCTGGCCAAGCGGTGCCACATATGAGGGTGAATTCAAGAGTAGTTATATGGATGGTAAAGGGACTTACACAGGCCCTTCGGGCGATACATACAGAGGTTCATGGATAATGAACTTGAAACATGGGCAAGGGACTAAGAGTTATGTTAATGGTGATTACTACGAAGGAGAGTGGCGGCGCGGGATGCAAGATGGTCATGGGCGGTACCAATGGCATAATGGGAACAATTACATAGGGCAATGGAAAAATGGGACAATCAACGGGAATGGTACAATGATATGGAGTAATGGAAATCGGTATGACGGATTTTGGGAAGATGGTTTGCCTAGAGGGAATGGGACTTATAGATGGGCGGACGGTAGTTTTTATGTCGGCATTTGGAGTAGAGACCCAAAGGAGCAGAGCGGCACATACTACCCATCGGGGTCAACTGGAGGCAACATTGATTGGAATCCTCAAGAGGTGTTTTCAGTGGATTTGCAGGATTGTAAGATTTGTCCTGGCGAAAAAGTTTCAATTTTGCCATCACAGAAGCTGCTGAATTGGCCAGGGATTGAGGGGGAGTTCTTGCAAAAGCAGCAAATTTGGAGACCTCAGAAGGAAAGTGATGGGGGTGGAAAACGGAGGATATCGGTGGATGGACGGGTGTCTCACTACAGTTGGGGTTCAGAAGGCAGTGAAGGAAATAATCTCAGGGATGACAATGAAGGGCTGGGGAATATTCAGCCTCAAGATTCAAGCATGAGAGCCACACTGACTAAACAACAGATGCTAAGGATAAAACCGCCAAAGAAACAGGGAGAGACTATATCTAAAGGACATAGGAACTATGAGCTAATGCTCAACCTGCAACTAGGAATCAGGTACTGGGTTTTTATTTTTGGTAGTTTAACTTTGCCTCCTTTTTCTCTTAAATTGGATAACAGAAGTTTAGCTTTGCTGATTGAAACTTGTTTATGATTATACACAAGTTTCACATATTCATAGGTTTTAAATTTGTCGGTTTTTTTTCCAGATATAGCAGATTAGATATTTGTCTCCTCAGTTGATTGAACATATAGTTTGACTTCTAGTATCCCACATGTTATGGTGTTCAATGAAAGGGATAGTGAACAAGTGGAAGTAACCATCTAGTGCCTCTCAATCCACTAATAAAAAAAAAAAGGACAGCAAAGCTGTAATGTTCATGTATTCTTCTACTGAGAACAATTCCAGGAAATAAATTTGGGCATATGTCATCATGATCGGCATGTCATCGGATGTCTTTCTTGCATGTAATCAGTCATTCAACGTTGCCCCCACAGGCATTCCGTTGGAAGGCCTGCTCCAGCTACATCCCTGGATCTGAAAGCTTCGGTTTTCGATCCCAAGGAAAAAGTGTGGACTAGATTTCCTCCCGAAGGGTCCAAGCATACTCCACCCCACCAGTCATGTGAATTCAGGTGGAAGGATTATTGCCCAGTGGTTTTCAGGTAATCTTGAACCATTCACTAATGATAATCTTCTTTCAGCTGCACCATCAAGTTACTGTTTATAAATACATCTACACACTAGTAGTGTTTGTGGCAGAATTAATGATATTGTGCTCATTAGCATAAGCTTAAGCTGACATCTCCCAAAATAGTCCTCTATTAAACATTTTCTGGATCTCTGTCTCGTGAACTCACTCAAGATACTCAAGTTTCAAAGCACCAAATTTTTCATTAACCCAGACTTCAAGAGTGACAACATATTCTTTTTGTCAATCTGCAGGACTCTCAGAAAATTATTTAGAATTGATGCAGCAGATTATATGATATCGATCTGTGGGAATGATGCCTTGAGAGAGCTTTCTTCCCCGGGAAAAAGTGGAAGTTTCTTCTACTTGACCCATGATGACCGGTACATGATAAAGACCATGAAAAAATCAGAAGTAAAGGTGTGTTTTCCTCGTTGCTTGCATAATATGAGTGATGAAGTTCCACATATCAATGCATTCTTATTAAATAATTTACTGTAGCAGAAACCAGTCTTCCAATCACAAGGTTCATGTTAACAACTTATTGCTATCTAAGTTAACAACTTGTCCCCAAATGTTTAATTAGTTTCTCTCATACCAAATTAAGATATAGAGCAATTAGTCTGCTGAAGGTATATTACTAGGTTCAACCATTTATGTAAAGCTTTCTCAAGATTTTTGGTGGAAGTTGTTTGCACCTAGCTGCAATATTTAGTCAGCAATTCTTGAACTTAAAGTCATTTTTCTGCTTTGTTCACAATGCCATGTAATTTGTTTGTGACAGGTGCTTTTGAGGATGCTGCCATCTTACTACAATCATGTCCGAACCTACGAAAACACTCTCGTTACAAAATACTTTGGTCTACATTGCGTGAAATTGACTGGGACTGCACAAAAGAAGGTAATGTTTGAGATACACTGAAATCAGAGTTACATCTTCCCAAGTGAACTTCACAGGACGTAAAACTATAGTCATACTCATTTGCAATCAGTGGCCCAGGTACGGTTTGTCATAATGGGAAACCTATTCTGCTCCGAGTACGCAATCCATAGGCGCTTTGACTTAAAGGGTTCTTCTCATGGTCGTATCACTGATAAACCGGAGGCTGAAATTGAGGCTACTACCACCCTTAAGGACCTTGATCTCAACTTTATATTCAGATTGCAGAATGTTTGGTTCCAAGAGTTCTGCAGGTGAGATTTCTTTTTCTGTGTGTGCTATTAAAATATTTGTTCCTCTTTCTTTGTACCTTGCTTACTCTTGAGCGCTCTCTTCGCCTACCCCACACACCTTCTACCCACACCCTCAAGCCCAATATTGCACAAGCAAGGTAGAGATATGGAACTTCGATCACTCATTTCTGATATATAATGAACCAAGATTTTCACAAGCCAACTTGTTTGTGATATATGATTTCAGTAGAGCTCTTTCTTAGAGAATGAAGTTGGATTCTAGCACGCCAGAACTCCTCCATTCATAGTAATTCAAACTTCTACTTAGGTGAAACTAATTCTAAATTCCATATGTTGATGGCAATTTCTGAGGGGTGCATTTAAGTAGAGGTAGTGAGCTTATCTGTCTTTCTGTGAAGGTTGAGCCAATCCTAATATATCCTCTATTTGTTTACGTTCTCCACCTATATGTGATTCATTTTGTGCAGACAAGTGGACAAGGACTGTGATTTTCTGGAACAGGAGAGGATAATGGACTACAGTCTGCTGATTGGTCTTCACTTCCGAGATACTTCTTATAACAAGGATAGCTTAGTTGCCGAGGCTTGTCCTGCTGGAGTTCGCACTCCTAGAGGTTCACTCTCGCCAATTCGCCAAATGCCTTAGATTCATGCCATATTAGCCAGGCTTAACATGTGCTATAATGTCTGTTCAGGCATTGGAGATAACATTGTTGACCCTGTAGATCCTCGCCTTTCCAGTGTGGAAATGGATCAGCTTCAACTTGACCCTACCAGGTAAAAACAATCCGTTACTCCTCTACAATAAACAACTCCCTTACGATTCTCTGACAATCGAATGAACGATAAAGAAAAATCGTGCTTCTAGATTGATCATATTTCTTTCTATAGAAGGATTATATGGCACTTACATTTCTCAGTATACTAGTTTTTACTTGAAACATCCTCCATCCTTTAGCAAGCTGTGACAATTATCTAGAGCTTCTCCCTCTCAATCTACCATTTTGATCAAATTAGCTCTTCATATGTGACTTAAGCATTGCTGCTATTATATATGATGATATTGGGCAGGTGGGCTTCAACCAGATTAGGGATAAACATGCCTGCAAGGGCTGAACTAACAATGAGGAGAAACGGCTGTGAGCTACAGCTGGTTGGTGAACCAACAGGAGAGTTATACGAGGTCATCCTCTTCTTTGGCATAATAGACATATTGCAGGATTATGACATTAGCAAGAAGCTTGAGCATGCATACAAATCAATCCAATATGACCCGACTTCAATATCCGCGGTTGATCCAAAGCAGTACTCCAGACGGTTCCGTGATTTTATATACAGAATTTTTCTAGAAGACACTTGAGGTTTGGACTCTCTCAAATGGTCGATCCACGTGTGGACACCTATGTACAGTCAAAGCATGGGATGATGGTTCTCTATGGTGAGAAGGTTGCCGTTTCGGTCAGCAGCGAGTACTAGAGAATGGCATCTAGGGTTAGATGTCTCGTGCTCTTGGCAAACAAACGGCAGATTTTCATCATCATCGTCTTGTAAGTTATAGGCTGAAAGAAATGTGTTGTAGGTAAGGGTAGAGAAGATCAGAGTTCAAGCCTCATTCTTTTTGTAAAATGTGTCATCACAGGATTGATTCTTTGTACCCATATCTTTTACCAGAAAAGGGAGGGATATGGAATTTTGTTATGAATAAGATGTACAGGAGATCGGTGAAGGCAAAAAAGAAAAATTCTAAGTTGCTTCACCATGAATTTCGTATCACAATTAGAATCAAGAATCCTTCTCATGAAGGTTTGTTTTATTCTTCTGCATCTCGGGCGGCATTCTGATTACGTTGAGAGGTTTGGAGTTCCTTATTTTTCCCTTCGGACACAGATCGACCCAGTGAGAATGGTACAACCAATATCGAAAGTGCAATCAAGCAGAACCCGCCATTACCTCCAAGTTGGCCAACCGTGAATAGGTTAAGAGGTCCTGACATTACTACAAAAGATTATCTGCAGCACAAATTTGCTCCTTTGACCTGAACTTCGAATTCCAGAGCTGATGCGTGCAGATAGCAATGTGCAAAGCACTAGCGAGTTGTGTACCTTACGGGCCTCGAGTCGTAATTTAAATTTTCAATGCAGCATGTGGAAATTATCTGATATTGCCAGGTGCAAGAGGGGGAGCAGACAAGTTTCAATAAACATGACTAGCTAAGTTACGTAAAAACTTGGTGCATCATATTTATTTACATTCTAATGCTCCTAATGCAACTTCATTCCACGTGGAACCTACCATTCAGCCTCATCTTGGGGGGGATCTCGCACATAAAACCTCAACCTTGATTCCATCCATGCCGTGAAGACACGGGCTGTTGCGACATGCCAAGCTACTGTCTTGCCTCGATGTTACAGCCAATTCACATCCGCCAGCCACCGACCGGCAACATTTAAAGGAGACCAGGACCATGTCTTGTTTCACGGAGGACATGGGGACCAGAGATCATGAAAAGCAAATTTTGTTTTTTTAGCGTCCCATCACCTGCATAAAGAATCAAGACAAGAAGCTAGTATCTATCGAATCAACCAATGTGACTTACTGTATCGAAAAAAGGCGGTCCCCTTATTGCATTTTGTGGATTCTTGCTAGGCCACTAAATTTGTGATTCAGGAATCTACCAAAGATCATATGCAAAAATGACAGAATCAGTCATCAGCATCTCGCGACGTTAAGCCCATGATAATCACAGGGGCATAAATATATCTACTCTAATATAACTACTAATTTTGATAGATGAGATTCATAAGATGGTAAAAAGATTACACAACATAGGAAAAAAGCACAATTTCTACATTAGAGAGAGTTCCTCTTCATACTGATCAACAACATAAAGTCACTGATTTGTTGCGGGTCCATTTCCAAACTAATGCCGCCACACGTGGTTTTATTTATCTTCAGATTGGGTCTTCAGAGAACTTTTCATGTTTAGATACAAATTTGACTGCATTAAGCACCCGTCAGAAAGATATCAGAGATAAACTGAGATTGGAATTGGTCCAAACACAAGGTTCATTCTTGCAGATCTTTTACAAATTATTGTGCCAGTGATCGTTTGTGGACCACGTCGAGAGGCAGCGAAATTAACAATGATAAATTGTGTTCTAAAACTGAGACTTGTAAATTTCATATCCCTTAGTTGCAGAGGTCACTGGAGACAATCTGATAGCAAACGAGTATGGCATGGGAGGAACCAGATATTTCTCGTGGACACAAGGCGACCAGCTATCATCACCACCCAAACCCATATGCTTGTGGTCGAGATGCACCTGTAACAGCAAGTAGAATTCTAATAGTCAAGACCCCGAAAATGGGAAAATACTAAGAGGAAGCATTGGCAAAATACTGGAGCTATCGACACATTTATGCGAATACCGGAAATAAGGAACTTAACATGTTAACAAATCAGATAATTCCTCAATTTCTTGTTCTAGCATTTAGTTCAGATTTCATAGAAACTAACACTGGACTGGATGTATACAGTGAAATTTCGTATATTTCGCAGATGAATGAAAACAGTCGAATGAAATCAACACTTGTAGATACTATAAAGCAAATGAGAAAGCACTTCCGACTCGAGGCAATACCTCAATGCTGCTTCCTCTAACAAGATCTTCATTATGCATTGCACGGTCAAGTTCTGACATGGTGTAATAACTCGCACTCATTTGCATTGGAGGAGAACTGCCATAGATAGAAGCGTAAATCCCAACACCATCTCTGTTTTGGAAAGTCACCCATCTCACATCAGCACGACCTCCACATTCTCCTGGAACTATGTAGGGAACATGCATGTCGGCCACATTCTCCTCGTAGACCGCAACATGGGCAGCAGCTTTTCTGTCTGGATAACATTCAAAGGGACCTCGTCCATACCATTGAATCCTCTCCAAAGAACTTTCCAAATGGAATTCAACTCCAACCCGTGGCAGAGGTGGAAGATTCGAACTGGGTCTTACATGGCATTCCATAATGACATCCCCAGAACAGTAGATCGAGTATATCATGTCACATTCAAATACGACAATTGATTTCTCAGACTGAGAAAGGGAACCCTCCTCACCTTGCGCGATAACATGGTATACTGTCTTTATTTTCAAAAGACAATCAGAATCTTGCTCTATAGAGCAGCTCTCAATAACAACTGAGAGGCTGTTGAGGTGAGCAGCTTTCCACAAAGAGAGATAGCTAGCAGAGCCTCCCCCTTTGTCATTATCTGTAGGTGCTCGCCAAAAGCAAGGGAGTATGCCGCTATCCATTACAGGAACTCCTTGAACCTGCAATTTTGTTACCATATCTTCAAGAATCACATTGCCATTGATTTCAGAATGATTAAATGTGGGACTACACCTTAATTGTAAGATTGATATTATCTTCTGCTTTAAAAAAATAATTTACGATAGAAACAACCTTCCAGCTTTCAAAAGCTCCTTTCTGTACATTGAATTTTATCTCCCAATTATTCTGATGGCAGACTCTGATCATGTCCCCAGAAACTTCTTTAAAGAATGTACCACTTTCAACTTTTATAGCCTGCGAATTAAACTACCATTAAGAAATGTTGAACACATTATAAAGATGCGACAAACTCAATAGAAGTATCAATAAATGGGATAGCTTTTTACATGGTGAGCAAGGACTTTTTTTGCAGGCAGCTGGACTTGGGTGGAAGACACAATATGTCCGGCTTCAGCCCAGCGCATCGAATGCAAAAGCTTAGCAGAAATTGTCAAGAAAATCTCAGTTGCGTAGCAGGAAGCCCAAACTGAGTACCATGGACCCTTCTCTAACTCTATGTCAAAGCTGCTCTGGGGTCCAATCGCGGGAAGTGAAAGAGCCCCGGAACCAAGATTGCATCCATCCCCATGGATAAACCAATTCAATTCTAACCCTTCCGTTGTTTCATAGAAATGAGTATTCATTATCTGTAAAGGAGATTGAAATATTGTCAGCTTCGGTCAAAAAACTGTAGATAGTAGCTAAGGCATGACAGTACCTTTAGCGTGATCCCATTTAATAGAACCTTGATTGGTTGATAGACATACTTCACTTCTGCAGACATCAAACAGAGCCATAGTGAGCATGCAGATTGATAGCTAATCAAGGCACTTAACTCAAAATCTTATATATGTCAGTCAAAAGTATAAAGTGAAATGTACCGTGCAGTGCAGGATGTGGAGTACGATCTGGCCATGTAAGTCCGTTCAAACAGAAGTTTAAATCATTAGGAATATCCCCAAAGTCCCCTCCATACGCCCAATGTTTGCAGCCGTCAGCCTTCTCTTTTAGTAAACCCTAAATTGAAAGAACGTAACCTCAAGTTTCTGAACAAATCCTCCTTATGCAATCGCCACAACAAGAAAGTCAAACAAGCTCATAGAATGTATCAGGCGTAGCTTAAGTTGATATTAGTGCCAGGTATTGACTGCAGACATTATAATATGAAAGCAGAACAACACTAGCTTATCAAGCATCATAACAAGGAAATGCCAGTCTTTCTTGGAGAGAACTTGAAATGCTTGCATCCATTGCATCTATTCAACCCACAATCCCCTTTGTTCTCCAAATGAACGATTATCTAAACATACCTGTTCGAATTACTTCTTTTTCTGATATCAATAAAAAGATTGTTGACAATTAATGCCTTAATAATGTGTCCCTATGAACTTGACAAATCAAAATATAGAATTTGCAAGCCTGATAAACCACACAAACTCAATTGATTGAATTTCATTTTAATATATGGTTTTAAGGTGCTTCATGTCCATTCCAATAATCTTCATCACCCGATCAGCTTCCTGCATAGCCTATTCAAAGGACCCATGAAATCTTTAACATTTATGTCGAACTACTTCAGTGAAAATAGAACATACATGACTCATTTGCCAGCTGCTTTTAGTCAGCATTATTACACCATTAAAGCAACTACTTCCGGATTAAACAGTACAAAATTATGAAAGGTATTGATGCATATAGCCAGACCTGGTTAAAGATTCAGATCTGTGAGACACCTCCGAGGATAGGCTCTATCATTAGTTCCTAACAATACATCCAATAAAGCACTTTACAGGACATTTTCTCATTCCACATATATTTCCAGAGTAATATTGGGGAGAAGTAACTCGACTTATAAGTATGTAACAAGAGAATTGCCTTTTAGGTATTTGGCACAATTAGTGGTAATACATGGATTCCCATCCACAACTTTGAGCATAGGAGTTGGCGTGAAGTGAAGGCTTGCATGAGCAAATTTTTCCAGGTCAAGGAGTAATTTACCTGATCAACCCAATCCCAGATAAAACCACCTTGAAGACCAAATGTACTATCAATTGCTTCCCAGTATTCATTAATGTTTCCATTGCTGTTTCCCATTGAATGTGAGTACCTTTCAATGGTGACACAGGAATATCGAAAATGGCATGGATATCAGATCAGAGATATTGTAGTATTAATAACTAAGGGAGAGCAATAAGAAATAATACAAAGGGGGAAAGAAAAAGAAAAAACGTCAGAGTTACGTACTCGCACAAGATCAAAGGACGAGTTTCATTCGGATCTTTAGCAATCTTCACTATGTCCCACACACGCATGTACATAGGGCACACAATATCTGTCGAGGAAGTTCTGGCTCCACCACCTTCATAGTGTAATACACGAGAAGGATCCTTCCCTCGGATCCACCCTGATGTAAACTACTAGATTAGTAACTTATAGCAAAGGAA